GAATGAACCCAGACGTAACCGCATCCAAAAGTGGTCTGCAGTAGACGAAGTCCATACCGGCCTTCTCCTGAAGCTTTGATTTTACGGTAAAAAGCGTTGGCAGCAGCTCCCCGAAGAAGCAATCGGACTGCGCTTGGAGTCGCGTCAGAGCGGAGGCGATGGGCTGCAGGATCTCACAGTACTCGGCAATAAATGCGAAGTCTCTTTCTTGGAATGTCTGCGGATTTAGTCCATCGCAGACATCTCGCAGTTTATCCTTTGAGCGAAGGAGGTCTTTCATGCTGTCATACAATGAATTCCAGCGTGTTACGCATGGCGTCTTCAGAGAATGCCCTATAGGATGTCCACAATAACTTCAGACGACTTGGGTCTTCGAACGCAGTTCCATAGAGCCGAACACTTTGACATGACCGATGTGTTAGCACGTTCAAAGGACGGTGTCGACAAGGCTGTGACATGCGCATCGAAGATGACGAGGCAAGTTGATTTCAGCATCGTCCAGGTTGTCGGGTTCGACCATAATTTCAAAGGACAAGTCGGCGGCGACATCATCTGCCAGTTAAAAAAGGAACACATTTAGCCGAAATACTTAAAACAGCACTCAAGATTACATGTTTGGAAACATTTTACGGTGAATAACACATATTCATAGAAACTAAAAGAAAAACAGTTGTGCAATAATCAAAAACACTCTCGTTTGCATTAGCTCCAGTGGCTTCATCTTCAATTATTTGTATTGCGTATCAAAAGAAGAATTATATGTATCACAAAAATTAACCAAGTCAGCTGCACCAGACAAGAGGAAAATTAGAATCGGTGCATAACATGACGGATATTTTTCACACTTCTTGCATTTGTAATCGCACGTTACCCACTTGGGTTTAGGTTATTGAGACAGACGTAAATCAGTCCTTAAAAAATCTGAAAAAATTATTGATAATAAGTACAGCATTACCCTTACCCTGGTCAGTAATCTCAGAACAAAAGCCGAACTCCCTGAAGGCTTTGTCGAAGTTGCTGGCGTTGTCTGTGACCGTGGCTACGACCTTCTCCCGCGAGATGTCGAAGGACTGCCTAATGTCTTCCAGCATTTCTGCTATCCTGTCGTACGTGTGGCTTCCAGGAAACCTCCTGCAGGCCAGTGCGAGCGACCTCCGAGAAAGGGTGCCAGCATCGATCTAAATAAATATACAAATATTATCATTCATTAGTTACTTAATCATGATTTTCCACAACTTCTACTTTTTAATACAGAATATGTTATAGGAATGGCCTCAGGCACTTCCGGCGACGCCTTCTTGGTAACGAAGGTGCGGAACACGAAAATTGAAATATAAAAGACACCGGCAGCGCTCCGATACGAACCAGCGTCCCTCAGATTATGAATCCGATGTCTTAAACACTGAACTACTAGGGACTTTTTTACGAATCTCTGACCCTCATACTGTGAATCCGATGTCTTAACCACTGTACTACCGCTCTATGAGGAAACCTTATGCTTCGATTCACCTTACACGTGGGCGAAGCATAAAATCTACGTGACCTACGCGTTCCACTCCCGCTCGAGCGCTACTTTTAACAGGGCTTTCTTCCGGAGACGCTCTTTCCAGCAAGCTGATGGAAGCTCCCCAAAATAATGCGTACACATTCTGTGTTACCACTGCCTTTGTCACGGTAGTGAAGGAAAGAAACACATTTTGTTTTATTCAAAACACAAAGCGCTTACCCAATGAACCGTGACACCCATGAAGCTACGATGGTGAGTGGACCAGATGTCAGCTGTGGTTGCAACATAGCTTTGACCAGACAACTTCTCTCGCGCGTCATCCAGAAACTTTTCCCATTCCTCATCAATTCGCCGACCTAGGGAGCGTCGCGACATCACACTAGTCCCTGGGCGCAAGCCTAAAATAGAAAAAGAGACAATGTACAATTATAATGCAGTCTGATTTCGCATAGAATTGAAAGCTCACCTGTTACAAGCTGTATGAAGCCTGGCTCTTCGACTGTCGATAATGAATGCCACCCATCCACAACGAACTTGACGATCAGATTGTCTACTTTAGGCTGAGTCAGTTGACTCCCGGGAGAGCAAAATAGTTTCGTTTGGCGCATTTTGTCAGCAGGGGCGTCGGCCTTTCTCTTGACTGCTTGTTTTCTCCACCCCTCTTTGTACTCATCGAACCTTCTTAGCTCTTGTGGATGCACGCGCTGAAACAAAATAAGTATCGATTAATTATATAGCCGCCACACAAGTAATATCACACAAAGCGTACTTCCGTAAGCTATGCAAATGCACCGTTTCGATACATAAGACAGCACTGAAAAATTAGATACATATATAGATACACTCTGTTCGACTCAATGCATTTCTTGGCATGTTACAAGCAAACAAAAAATATAATTTATGTTGATTCTGCACCTACCTTTAAGTGAAGCTTGAAATTCGAGGTTGACGAGTAGGCGCCAGGGATGGTCGCTTTACAAAACGAACAGGCAGCCTTTACTCTGTCGTCCCTAGATGAAATCACGGTAAAATACTTCCCGTCCAAGATGGCACAGCGAGGAGTATTGTCGTTGTCTGCCATTGCTAGCCAGTCGACGCGGCGGAACAAATAACATTCAACTCCAAGACTGGGACTGCGAAGTGCGCACCATACAGTCGGAAATATCAAGTGAAGTTCCGCGGAAAAGAAAACCAGGGACAGAGCTCAGCCTGGCCGCCTAGCGTTTTGCAGACGGCGCCCTCCTGTCTGGCTCCTGTAGTGCTCTGGGCGGCCGTGCAACCCGGGTTTGCTATAGACACAAAAAAAAGGACAATGCCCGTGCAGAAATTTCGAAACCGCTCGACTTTCTTTCGATCGTGTTTCTTTGTTTGTTGTTTTAGCCGCGGACACAAGATTTGTTTACTTGATGTTGTCTTTTCGGAGGCCTTCTATGCTCTAGCTTCCCCTGAACAAGAGTGAAAGAAAACGCAGCTTCGATTTAGAAGCGCACTTTTGCAAGTATCGGGTATTTTTACAATTCACGATACTTTCAAAAAGTATCTTCGATACCGATACTTCGATACATGTTTTTCTGGCAAGCGATACCAGATACAAGATACTCAACTCTTCGATACTGCCCAGCTCGGGGGACGTGTCGGTGGTGAGGAACGCGCTTGCCGCTATGGCTATCGGCCACACAACCAGGAAGACATTGAATGGGGTGAAGGACCTTGTAAATATCTTGGTGTGCCGCTTCACCCATTACCTAATTGCACATTTTATTGGTCTGATGCAGCTAACGATTTGAGACAACGTGTGTCAAGATGGCCCACTCGCGATATGTCTAATTTCGCAAAAACAACGGCATGCAACTTTTTTTTTTTTTAGTTGTTATGGCGAAGATTATGTACGTGCTGCAAGTATTGAATTGTGCCCGCATGAATGTTCAGAAATTCCAATGTGTGTGCTTTGTTCTTATGGAAGTCAGGATCAGAGCGGATGAGGGAACAAACAACCTTTTTAGGCGTATTTCACTCGATGGCATGTCAGACAACTCGATGTGGAACAATTTGTGTCACATTTACGTATTTTTTCTGCGGGACCAAGAAGAGCCATTTGTCCGCACATTGATACAAACTAAATTAGTCTGCACTTACCTTCCTTACCATCGGTGATTTCTAAACCTATGACAGCCGTAGGTTTTCTAAAAGCTCCTTGCGCCTTTCAGTATTTGGAAATCACCAATGGCAGGGAGACATGCTAACATTAACCCCCAACCTGTAAATGTCTACTTCACTGAAATAATCATCCAAAATAAAAGCTCCAACTCTTTTTTTTTTTTTGGGTGGGGGAGGGGGGGGGGGGAGGGATCTGCAAGTTGTTGTTAAAGAATGTTTGGCGTTTACCAGGGTAAATGACGTGCAAATGCTCGTCAGCAGCTGATGTCACATCGCGACTTCTGCTCGAAAAAAAACGAAAACGGAGCGTTTTATAAATTCTTGAATTGTCGGCCATGGCCCGGCAAATTCAGGCGATTGATTAATTTGTTCTATCCTATTTTTATTAAGAATCATTTACATGCACATGTAAAATCGATCGCTGATAAGCGCATCACGCATTATGCGCATTTGTGTTCGCAAAAATGAAACATACAAACGGTAGTAATTAATTTATAGCAGGTATATTCTTTATTTTCTTGGACGCTGAGGTGTCACCGACTTACTAGATATAAGACTTAGATCGCGAGGGTGTCTTGCAGGTCTCGCGTCAACCGGGCGAATAGACAGGGAAGTTGAAACGACTCCGGAAGCAAGCCACCGCTTCTTCCTGCCATTTTTTTTTTATACAAAAAGGAATTAATTTGAAAAGTTCTAAGAGGCGAGTACTCACAGAACACATTGGAACTAACAGGGTACACGGAGTCGCTTTCACTGAAATGTTTACTACACACCCGAGAGGTTCTCGAATTTGGCTTTCCTATTTTCAATTTTGATGAGACATTACTTTCTCCGTTTTATTTTATCCGAAAAAAGAAAAACAACAGACAACCTATTTGCCGTAGTATCGATGCTGTAGTGGGGTACATAAAGCGCTGGGTATTCTATTTTCATCATCCAGTTTTTTGTACCGGGGTAGAGAACAGCACACCGCCATCCCAGCACTTCGACACCTCAGCGCCAAAAGGGTTTGTTGGCACGACTACGCGTACCGCGGTTCCCAGCTTTGGTAAAATGTCCTACTGCAAATATCACTTCACCAAATAAACACAACGCGTGAAACAGGCTTTGCCGCGCGTTTCCTAAACAGCGGAGGAAGCGAGCTGACGAGCCGAGGGATCCGAGATCTGCGCGTTCTGTCCCAGTCTGTCCTACCCGTGACGTCACAAACGATGATGATCATAGCTAGAGAAGCGTCCCCTGTAGTTCGCGCACGCCGCCAATGGGGATGTTTGTCCTCTAAAATGCTCCCCCTGGCCAATGCTTGCGCGTTCACGTTTCATCGTTTACGGCGCAGGTGCTGTCGGAAGCCCACCGTGTACTCAAGCCCGGCGGTAGGTTCCTCTGCCTGGAGTTCAGCCGAGTGGAGAACCCCTTGCTCCGAAGGTAAGCGGGCATGCACACCACACCGAAACGAAGGCGGCGCTTACAACACTGACGGTTTAAAGGGATACTGAACCGAACTTTGGAGCTCAAAATACAAGGCTGCAACGATAGGCGGGAGGCTGCAAAACTCAATAACATCACTCATACAGCAATATATCTAACGGATGGCCGTATTTTTTTTTTTTATTCTTGGTAAAGAAGCGCGCGATTGAACAGGGCCGACGAGGCCGACGAGGCGTGTGACGTCACGATTCTCGTTCCCTTCCTCTTTGCTTCGTCCCCTCCAGCATGGTGAACTGAAGCGAGGAGGAGAGAAGCAAGGCCGCTTTCTCTCATTTTCAACTGTCACAGCAGGATCGTTACGTCATAGTCCTCGCTTGATAGCACCCTTCTTTCCCCAAAATACGGCCATCCGTTTGAGATGTCGACGTACGAGTGATGTTTTGGAGTTAGTAGCATCCCGTTTCAACGCTTCTGCGGCCTTTTTGTGCGAAATTCAAATTTCGGTTCAGCATCTCTTGAAGACCGTCGATATAGTTTTCACTAGAGCAGTGACAAGTGTCAAAGGCTCCTTGTTATTATCAGCCAACGTAACGAGCTGATCGGGGGAAAACCAATTTTTTTTTCTCATTTGGTGATTGCTTGTTTGCAAAAAAGAAGTGCTTGAAGCATTGAGTGATGGATGCTCCAGATCTGAAGAACTATTTTCCTATGTTATTTTCGCCCAAACTGTTCGATGGGAAGTATGATAGCAAAATGTGCGTGATATAAACCAATCTATAAATTAGCTCGATGGCTTTCTCTGTCCACCCAGCACCGAACTCTTGTGCAGGTAGGTTCGCGAGTTTCCGCGTCTCCGGCGTTCTCAGAGGCGTATGAATTCGGAAGGTCAAGTAGGCGAGGCCCCGAAGTCCCCTTCACGCCCTGTAGGGCCCTTCAAAAACCTTCCATGTTATCGGTAGTGAAAGCGATTCTGAAGGTTGTTTGATTTTAATTCGAACAGTTTTATTACAAAAAAAAAAATCCGTGAAAGGTACACTACTGGGGTTTGTGCAGGTGTGTTATACTGTCCCGGAGGAGGAGGACGAGGAGGAGGAGGTGGGCATAATATAGGGATCTAGTTCTCACGATAAGTCAGATAAATAAAATATCTTAATTAACTTTTTTTGTAATTTGGCAAGAGACATATGGCTCCAATTCAAGAATTGCTGGCCGTCATCCAAGACCACTAAGTCAGTCAATCTTAGAAATGCTGGGAGCACGTGGGAAGCTTGGAGGTGTACCAAGGTTGTCTCTGGTGCAGCAGGCGCAAAGCTAGCGGTGGGAAAACTTGGATGATTAGATTATCATCCGCGTTTTTCCACCGCTAGGTTTGCGCCTGCTGCACGGGCGGTAACTCTGGTGCACCCCCGCGCTTTCCACGTGCTCCAAGTCGTTAGAAAATTGATTGACTTAGTGCTTTTGGATGACGGTCAGCTATTGTTTAATAGGAACCATGTGTCTATTTTCACCAACCAAAAAAGTTATGTAAAAGATTTTAGTTATTTATCCGACTTATCGTGAGGATTAGACCCCGATATTATGTTCCCCCGTGGCCGTATATAAAACACCTGCACAAAGCGGATTAGCGCATCTTTCACAGATTGTTTTTAATGCGAAAGCATTAACTGTCCCATAGAGCGGGCTGACGTCATCAGCTTTGAAGCCCCGCCAAACGGCACCTTAAATCCTTTCTCAAAATGATGCCAGCTTCCAGCTATGAAACCACATGAAAAGCCCAAACAACGAACCGCACCTAGTTTCCCCGATCCCAAAGGAGAGGAGTAAAGCTGATCGATTTCGGCTCCGGTCCCATTGGCTGGCGCGCGTCGTAGTTTAAAGGAATAAGGCTCCCATTGGTCCCTGCGCGTCAGTTTCATCGACCGCCACCCCATGGCGCGGCGTGTCCGTCAGCGCGGCAGTAACAAAAGAGTCCAAGGTAAGAGCGGCGAGGAGAGGGCTCGCTTTGCCGTCGGCGCAAATACTCCGCAGACGAAACAAGGGACCAGGAGAATGACATGCATGCTTTCGCAGTCACAACTCATAAGAAGTGCTTAGATGTACTTTTGGGGAAAAATGAAATGCGAACAGAGGAGCGCGTGGCTCGCGGTACAGGCTGCGCCGCCTGGAAGTGAGCCTAGGGGCGAGGCTGTCTGGCCTACTCCCACGTGTATATGACCCTCGTTCGACGCTTCCCAAGCTTCGGCACTACGCCTCTCGGTGCGTTGAAAGCTTTCACTGCTATCGTTGCGCGCCCGACGCGTGCGGCGCGAGGTAGCTCGCCGCTAGTAGCAGCTAAAGCGCGCGCTAGCTTCCCAAGCTTCCCAAGCTTCGGCGCAATGCCGTAGCTTGGGAAGCACGGAGCGAGGAGGCCATACATTTTCGCCCCTATAAATGCGAACAGAGGAGCGAGCAACCCGCTCCTCTGTTCGCATTTCATTTGTCCACAGCAGTGGAAAAATGAAGTGCCGTGGTACACCGCACTTCATTTTCACTTCACTTCACTGCAGCGGTACACCTGTGGGGGTTGCAATGCCTACTTCGGCCACGACACTGGCGGAAGCGCAGGAGCAGCGGGAGCGGCGGAGGAGCTCTACCGCTCCTCCTACGCCGACTAAAAGTGGCCGCGCGCGGCGCTGTTCGCTGGGCGATTGGTAGCTGCTCCTAGCGGCCGCACGGTGCCCATCGAGTCTCGAAATCCAGTACATTCCGGTCTCGGAAAATTAAATCGTTTACATTACTTTCGAATGATAAACCTTCCCCAGAGCATTTCCGTGGGAGCGCCCTTGAGGACGCTTTCCCCGCAGCTAGGCGTATAGCGAGGAAGCAATATCCGTCGCCATTTTGGAACTGAGCCGAAACAGAAGCGTAAAAAATATTGTCATTCGATTTAGAAACATCCCTGCAGTTCGTGCTAAGTAACAATGTTAACCTCCGGAGCATCGGCCATTTTTTTTTTTTTTAGATTATTATTATTTGAGTTTTCGGGTGTCCGCTATTCTTATGTTTTGTTGCACAATATGAATTCTAGGAAAGAATATTTTTTCCTAGAATATGAATAGGAAAGGATAGTCTTGGCATTTTCAATAAATAAGAAAAAAAAAAAAACGCTGGGCTCTAGGTACGCGCATGACTGATACACAAAGCTGTTGATGTGGGTCCAAAGATAGGTGCTTGGAAGAATCTAGGAGGAGGAGGTGTGGTTTTAAGGGAAGTGCAAGGGGCCAACCGGAATGAACTGTCTCTCTGACAAAAGGAGAACCGAAATTTTGAAAGCGTTTTCCGACGTTACGAACTCGTACCAAAGGTTTGATCCATACTAAAAAATTAAAAAAAAGCTCACCGCAAAATTGCGTCGCGGAGTGGATTTTTTTTTTTTAATGTTTATTATGATAGTGTTTTCACTCCAATAAGTCAGGCACGCCTACTTTACCTCAAACCACTCGGAAAAAGCAGTCGCTGCAGCTTATGGATGAAACTCTGTGAATGCCCAAACTATAAATACGTTCAGGCCTAAAAAAGATGAAGAAAAAGCAGTACGCGTTGCGACACTCAGTACCAGTTAAGCCATAGACTCCTATATACATACAAAGCCTGGCAGTTTGACGACGGAGCCACAGAGTGCCCGGTCGCAGATTTGGAGTTGCGAGGATCTGGTAGCACAGAGCATCAAAGAGCCGTTTCTCGGGGAATCTGGACGTCAGCGCACAGCTTTTGCAGCGGCGAGGACCCAAAGCACACTTGTTCGCTCGGGAGAAGTGTGTTTAGGCACCTCGCCGCAGCGGGGCGCCAGTCACGTGGCTCTCTCATCCGTTGTCTGCCGCTCCACCTTTTCCATTTCGGCGGCAGCTTCTTGTGGCGATCTGCCAGGCTTTGTCAGTATATAGGAGATTATGATTAAGCTCATGCACCGGTCGCGCTCAGTGTCTAGACACAGAGAGATTCTTTTGAGCTGTGTGGCGATACTATGTGTCGCACAAGTACACCTCGGTCAAACCACTAGACCACCACTTGGGTAGGGTATGGGGGATCGGTGGCCGACTGAGCTAGCGCACACCAGCTCGGAGCACGTGGAGCGAAAGCTCGCGTTGCAGAACCCAGGGATCCCGGGCTGAATCCCCACCCCTGTTTGTTTCGATAAGGATGAGTATCGTACCGGTGTGCGGTCGCGTATACTGCGTGATGCACGTTAAAGACCCCAGGCTAGCGGTTGTACCGCACTGGCTAAATTGCTCATCTACAGCGAGTGACTCGTCGCAACTTTGAAATGGCTGACCAACTACACGCTGTATAAATATCCACACAACCCCAATTATTATTATCCGGGTATGTCGAATTCTACTATTCGCTCGACTTCAGAAAGTTTTTTCGGTGGTCACGAAGGGAGCATGTAGCACAGTCAGCGTGTCAGCTTATAAAAACCTCCTCGGTGGCCCGCAATTTTTGGCCAGCTTCGGCCTTCGTACGAGAGTGCACGTATGCTTGTCTGTATAGAGGTGACATTTTCAGCCGTCTCTGTTTGCTGGGACACATGTGCGAAAGACACCGTAAATCGCACGTAATTCGGAACAGGGGGAAACAATTGTTCCGCACACTTTCTTCTTAGAAATAAAAACAACGGCCCGATTAATAAACGTACAGAAAAATCTGGAACGTGTTGTTGACAAAACCTCCATTTGCGCGTTACGTGTCCAGTGACGCGATTGCTGCGACATTTTCGCCGAACTGCGCCAGAGCGCCTACCCTGCTACATCCTGCTACATTTTGCCGAAATGCAGCGCTGGTGCTAACGCTTTACAAGTAACGGCGTTACCGGTAACGCGCTACTTATTTTCGGTAACGTGTAACGTACTCGCTTCGTTTTCAAAACAGTAACGGGTAACGTACTTACGTTACTTATTCCGAGGAACGGGTAACGTAGTTACGTTACTCGTTGTATATCCTTCCGAAGACATTAAAAA